TCGTCAATTTAGAGACGAGAGTCGACAAATCTTATTTGTCGCCAAAATATTCGGTCAAGGTAATTTTGATCGAGTCCCATTCTAGAGGGACGTGGCTCGCAGAGAGAGCATCGTTGGCTTTCCCTGTGATTTTATCGCGGATAATGCCTATCCAAACAGGCATTATTCGAGAAATTTCGTTTTCTGGCACGAATCGTTTTGACTCGTCCAGTTTTTCTTCCACGGACTCAATCCACCTAGGTAGATTGCGTGGGTCTCCTTGAAATTCCGGGACTAGTCTTTTTTTTCCTTTGGTTTGTTTTTTCCGTCGATCTTGTTTTCCGTGCTGAGCACCAATGCTACCGACGTGCCAGGAAGGCAGCTCCCACACCTGGACCCTACCTATCGACCCATCAACTCATGAACCGGGGACCAACGGCTTTATTTCCCATCCGAAGGAAGGCGTGATCAGAGATGTTATGCCTCAGAACATCCCGGCGGCGCCGACTGGGATTGAACCCAGGCCTGCTGGGGTGAGAGGTAATCACGCTTACCACTACACCACCGGCGCCGTTAGGGACTAGTCTTATGAGGTCCGGAATTTTAGGAAATGAAGGAGTTTCTCGCGTCGGCGCTATTTCGGGATTTGGGGCTCGGTTTGTTCCCGAGTTCTTTGTTATTGCTGTTCGATCACTTCTATCAGTTCTTCGATTTGCAATTGCAAATCGTTAACCGACATAGATCTAGTCGTCATTTTCTGGGGAAAAATTATATTCACGCTTTGAATTTTTAACGGATAACTTTAATTAAATCGTTCACTTCTTAACACTAATCACTACACTCTACTTACAGTTTTGGACCTACACCACTACTCCTCTTGTTATCCGCAAGGGAGGATTGCTCGGATGAATCTCCGTTCGGGATGTGCTGCGGTTGTCCCTCCTTCGATTGATCACTAGGATGAGGTCCGTGTGAATTAACTGTAAAGTTTCCCACGTCGGATTCTTTTCCCTGCCAATGGTCTGGAAGCTCACAAGTTGGGTGCTGTTCTCACTTCACTAAATAGGATGACTTTCTTCTGCGGTTGAACGTCGATCGTTTCCCGCGTCGGTTGGTTTTCCCTTAGGGTTTAAACTGCACTTTACTTGCGAATCTAACAACACGTAGCACATCCTACCGACTGCGCCAATTACGTTGGGGAGCTTCAGGATTGCTTTAAAAAAAAAAAACTAACTAGTACTCTTCACGTTAAACGTCTAACTAAGACTGACTTTATTCCAAATACTTTTTACGTACAGAGGCCTAACTTTGTAAACGGTCCCTAGCTAAAGTGATGACACTTTGAAACAGGATCGCGTCGTCCGGTGGCTGGCTGCTGATGCGGTGAGTCTTAGGTCGGCGGATACTTGATTTCGTGGAATCTGATGACGGTGGGCAAACCATGCGCTCGTGACTTATGGCAACTGATCCAATGCGGCTAACGAGGCTGATATTTGTTGTTGTTGTGGTTGTACATTCCTGATGCTATCTATAACACTCGACAGATCAGGAATAGGGTATATTGATTCTGTAACTTATATAATTTTTTTTCTCTGACGTTTTGGAGACTTGACGTTTCCGGTAAAGTTGTTTATCTTGACAAAATAAACAACTCTTTTGAAGACGTCAAAACTCCACAGCCTACTGTACAAATCAGGCTATCAAAATATTTGTAGTACATTGCTGATTTATGAAGTAGTGTTAAGCTAAAATAAGGCATGTTAAATCTTTAGATCAGCTAACTTATTGAGGTTAAGTTATGGGGATACAATTATCTTCAAGCACTTCTAATCAACTATATATTCAGCCTGCTGTTAATCAGCTTTGTACACCTTAAATCAATCAATAATCAGCTTCTTTTCTTACTGTTCAGCTTGAATTGTTACTTGGGATGCCCCGATTACTGGCTATTGATTTATATCATCCTCCACTTCTATTCTCCTTACCAACTCAAGCAGATAGTGATGTCCGTTTGGAATATCTTGATGCTGGTCAACAACCGCTCGACTACTCAAAAATCGATTCCGTCATGCTCAACGAATTCCTATTGAACTGTGATATAAATCACCTGGAATAAGGGCTCTAGTAGATACCGTTTATACTAACCTGAAAGTGGCCTTCGATTGCATCGATCTTGATATTCTTCTTCGGAAAATGTCTCGTCTGGGAGTTTCGGACGGTTTGGTTGATTGGCTGAAATCGTACCTTTCCAAAAGAACTCTCCGTGTCGAGCTGGATTCGTGCACTTCATCACCTTTTGTTGCATCCTCCGGTGTTCCCCAGTACGCTCATCCTGCAGAGTGGTTGTGTGTTCAAAAACACCGATGATCTCAAACTATACATCGTTGTCAAGGACGCCGAAGATGGCCGTCAGCTCCAAGAAATGTTCGACCGATTTGCAGACTGGTGCAGGCTTCCAAAAAGTACAGCCTCCTCGCGACAGTTGGTTTATACCTGAATTGACTGTTGCTTTGTGTGCTTTACTACCGCTTGCTACCGTACGTTCAGATCTGAATTCGAAGTGTATTGGTAACAGCGCACGCACGAACGAATGAAAGCTGTATTAGAACAGTCGGATCTATACCCGCTTTACTAAAATCATCGTGCTTGGAACGTAGTGAACCGAATGGGCTGTATTTATGCATTTCTTTATGACCAGGTTCTCAATGTTTCTGTCCTCATAACAGCCTTCACAAACCGACGACATCCCTCAGCTTACCCAAGTGGCTGTCACGAAAAGGCTGTCACGAGACATTATATACAATTGATATACGGCAGTGGAGTATGGAAGAAACCCAGAAGAATGATCCCGAACAGATATGTCGGCCCGATGTCGGATATATGTAAGGTCATTTTATGGTCGACGTCGGCCAAATGTCGGGTCGATGTCGGGTCAATTCTGTGTTTATGTCAGGTCAATGTCGGGCCAACATCGGGTTGGGGTTTGGTAGAAGTCAGGTTGGTGTCGGGTAGGCTTATATTTTTCGCCGGAGACCGTGCGTTTAAAAAACTATATCGGATGAAAATTTTGCAATGGGTAGCACGAACGTGATAGCAACCGAACGAGCTCCGGCGCCACACTGGTAGTGTAGTAGCAGTTTTACGACATACAAACAAAATTTCAAAGACAGCAGCAACGAATCGGCAGTTTGACGGACTGCTTGTTGTATGTACGAGGAAAGTTACGAATGACCATCCGAGGCTGTCATAGCCGAACGAACAAAATACATGACTAAGAACAAGCTGTCGTGAACAGCACAAGACGGCAACGTTGCATGTCGTATAAAAGCCTCACTGTGGGCTGTCGCTTATAGCTCAATCTCAAGGCTGTCGTAGGAAAAAGAAAGCGACAGCCGTTGGAATACTGTCATGAGGCGGTACTTTTGGTATGCCTGGACTGGTGCATCGCTAATTCATGTAGCCGTGGCCGAGGCTGGAAACCAGTCTGGTCCGGTCACGACAGTTATCACAATAGGGGGGACCTTTTCCTTCGTGGCATTAAGCCGGGAAAGTTTAATGGATTTTTTCCTGGATGTTATATCTTTCTTATCATCCGTGAGCATATCAAATTGATTGCTCAAATCAATTCCATAAGAAAGGGAAGCAAGAGATTGCCCTTTTCTTTTGCGCTTAGGCGCCAAGGCGGAAGTAAACATTTCTCTGAATCGACTCCCAAACAGATTGCTATAAGAATTTGAAGTATCAATGTCCAAGCAGGATTACCAGCAGGGTAGAGTCCAAACAAGGATTGAAGGGGAATAAATTGGAAAAAGGTAGAAAATATTCAGGTAATTTTGGGCGCTTTCTTTTTTTTTTCCTTTGGTTTGTTTTTTCCGTCGATCTTGTTTTCCGTGCTGAGCACCAATGCTACCGACGTGCCAGGAAGGCAGCTCCCACACCTGGACCCTACCTATCGACCCATCAACTCATGAACCGGGGACCAACGGCTTTACTTCCCATCCGAAGGAAGGCGTGATCAGAGATGTTATGCCTCAGAACATCCCGGCGGCGCCGACTGGGATTGAACCCAGGCCTGCTGGGGTGAGAGGTAATCACGCTTACCACTACACCACCGGCGCCGTTAATTTTGAGCGCTGAAAAGTGCTGTTAAAATTTGTTGTAGCTTTCGGTAGCAATAACCCTTGCTTAAGGAAAAAAACAAATAGATCTGTACGGCAAGACAGGCTTTTGGATTTTCATTTGTATGTTCGTAGCATCACTACCATAAGTAAACAACCCTATTGACAAGCCAGCAGAGAAACATCTGAGGTTAGATGATGCAATAGACTGAAAAAACTAAATCTAAAAAAGTTAAAACGCATTCTTTTAACGTTTTGAAGTAATAAAACAAACTTTCAAAACGTCTTAAATCTGAGAGCTGAGGTAGAAAGATTGTTCCAGTGCAAAAAATAACAGATCAAGACAATAAAGCGCTCGTGGAAGCTTATTTGGCGATGTTCTTAAATAATAATTATTAGATCACCTGAGAACCAAGTTTAATTTTGCAATATACTTGCATTTTTCAGGATATCCATTTACCTTATTTCGGTTGAAAATCCAACTGGAAAAGCTAAAGATTCAAATCAGTCTAATTGGAATGACTATTTCCTACACAATTCGAAGGTTGTATTGAAAGGATGTTTTGTAGGTTTGCTGAAAATGATGTTTTAATGCTCATTTCCATGAATTTCATCGTCATGCAGTTGCGACAACTGTGTAGAGCTTTTACGGCACACAGTTGCTTATTTGTGTAGCTTATCTCCTGTAATCTCAGCATTCTGCGTTACATCACAAAGTATTTGTTTGAAGATCATTTAGTTCCTAGCAGTATCTCCTTGAGGGCATTGGCTCGCTATTTACATTGCAAATCAACTCCGTCTTCGTTGGAGCTCCAAAGCTAGATAAGCTCGTGGTTTCACCTTGAAATTGCACCTTTAAATTCAGAATTCGCAACCAACGGTCTCATTCGAAAAGGAAGCCCAAAAATGTTCGCGGTGTCGTTCATTGTTCTCACACTGTTGCAGCTATCCCTTCAGCAGGGAATAGAAGTTCCTGGAATCCTGCAAACTCAGACCAAACAAACAGCTGAACGTACCCTATTGGATTCCGATCAGCAGTCATGCGATGGCACCCGAATGTTTTCAACCTGCAATAGTTGCAATGTGGTCAGCATCTGTCTGGGCAATACGATGGATTCGCGTTACTGTTCTTATGTAACGCCGAACAAACCGTTCTGTAACAATGGTGAATGTTCAGCCACTCCAGGCTCCGATTCCGGTTGCTCTTGGAACATGTACTGCACCGGAGTGGGATTTTATCCTGGTAAGTCAAATCTCCTTTGATAATGATTGGCTAATAGCCGTAACATTCAACTCCAACAGATCCCCAAAGCTGTGAAAGCTATCACTACTGCGAACGCAAGGACTCCATGTCACTCGTCTACAAATGCCCCGAAGGCTACGTCCTAAATCCGGATACCTTTTTCTGTAAACAACAACAGAAGAAAGAAGACTGCATGAAGGTCGTTTGCAACCCGAACGAAATCTTCAGCAGCTATGGCTCGAGCAAACGTTTCTTTGGTTACTGCACCTTCTATAGCAGTCCTGTTGCATCGAGTGTGAAAGTGTACAAATGTGCCGAAGGAACGGAATTCGATGGCAAATCATGTGTTTATAAGTGCTCTGCAGAAGGGCGCTTCCCGGACAGTGCCAACGAGCGAACGTATTATGAATGCTACTATTCGGGAGACGCCTTGAAGGCAACAGCGCAGGTTTGCCCCTACGGAACGAGTTTCAATCAAACGTTGTCTACTTGCATTTCGATTCCCACGACAACAATTGTACCGACAACAAATTTCCTTACATCGACAACAAATTCACCGCCAATAATTTATACGACAACATATTCACCCACCACAAGATTACCGACAGCAACTCCAACGACAACATATTCACCAACAGCAACGGAATGGATATGGGGAACTACTACTGCATCTACCGCTTGAAAGATCAACTCAAGAGCAAATTTCTAAAGTAACAAAGCTAAACAAAGTCGAGCTATCAGTGTCAATCGATGCTCCTGCCATTACACTATATACTCTCCAAATATAAGATTATAGTACATCCCATTTTAAAATTTATTTACCAGTCAAATTGCCTTTTTAATGTAATCACCTTCCTATCAAAATATTTTTCGATGTTACTTAAGTCACCCGATTTCTATGGAGATGCCATTTGTCTTAAGTAACCGCGCAGAGAAACCCGTGAAAAGGGTACGTTCGTCACTGTTTGTTGCTAAGATGATTTCGGTGGTCCTAAAATGAATGGGCTGCACGTACGGAGACGTGATTGATAATTCTCCCGAATATCCTGGTAAATACACTTTGACTTAAGTAACACTATGGGTCCACCAAAAGACGTATCACAAGTTTTGACTCAAAAACCAGTATGTTTTAACATGAAAGCCAGCGATTGTATGATTAAAACCCTGAATATGTTAAACATTGCTATCACTATGAGATTATATGTGTTTAATTGGAAATAGGAATAACTTTTCGGTCATCAATGTTACTTTAGACATAATGAAAATTTGCCTTTGAACTAATAAGTATGAATCACAAATACCTTCATTCAGTGATAATGAATTAGTTTTTTTTTTCTTAAATAATTATAGCATACTACTCAGGGTAAGGGTTTGATATTTATTGTACATTTGCTGGCTCTAAATGCTTCAAGGCGTTTCTTTAGACCTACGATAATGATATCGGAAAATAAAACGTAAATTCCATGCATCACTGCATGCGCTATTTTCAATTTACTTTATGTGAAACAAAACCAAACATGGGAGAAAGCTGGCTAAAACTATAACACAAGGTGTTCTGCATGTCTATATTTTTAAATTTTCAGCATTTTTTTGTAAATAATTATTTTGAAACTCTTTCAGTCCCTCCGAAATACGTTTTTATCCATAATTGCCTGTGAAATTAACTTGGAATATTATTCATAATTGCCAAGAAATACTGCTTGAAGCCTCTTAAAGTTCGCCTCTGAATTGTCCCCTTACCGAATAGCTTTGTCATTCTTCACGAAATTATTTTGGAATTCTGCAGTGCTCCTCATGTGTCATTGGTTGGAACAATCCGAATCTTTAACACCGATAAACAGCACCGTACTCCGCTAACAGAAAAGCTTAAGCGCAATAACAGCGAAACGGCAGCGGTAGCGGAAAAGCCTGATCTGAGTAAAGGCCCAAGCGCAAAGACGGCGGAAGCGGAAAAGCCCAATCTGAGTAAGCCTACTTGTCGGATTGAAAGCTAGTTAGATCCAAATCGACTTCGGTCAGGCATCTTGATGTCATCAGTGACAACTGTCAAACTTTCCATTTCCGTTCCGCTTACGCCCACATTGCGTTTGGGCCTTAAAGGCTACTTGTTGGATTGAAAACTAGTTTAAACCAAATCGAATTCGCTTAGGCATCTTGATGTAATTTGTGACAACTGTCAAACTTTCCGTTTCCGTTCCGCTTCCGTTCACATTGCGTTTGGGCCGTTACGTTTTCCTTGTGTGTACAAAAATGTGCTGCCGAGACTCTGTGCTACGGTTAATGCTAGAACCAGGGCCCCACAAAGTTACTTTCAATCGAAAATCGTCAAGAGACGATGAAGCCGTCAACCATCACTTTCGATTGAAAGCCTTCTCTGGGAGCACATCAACATCAACAGAACCACTTTCGATCAGTTTTCATGCTGTTTGTTTTGGTTTGATTCGTGTGTATTTCTTCTTTCAGTGTCAAATTAACTTACTTTTGCATTGAAGCGAAGCTGTTCGATCCAAATTCGTGCAGTTTTTAGAACTTTTGTTGATTGTTCACTTTGTTCATTTAGGCGTATGCGCATGGATCTGTGCACGTGGATCGAGACGTGGATGTCAAATTGATCATTGCCGGGTGGTTTCATTACCCATCAGTATGGGTATTTTTTTTAAATCGGTGTGACGTCTAGAGATCGAAATCGGTATGCGACGCCATTTTGAAATCCAAGATAGCGGCTTCCAGTTGAAGAAAAAGTGGGAACCCGAGCAAAGTAAAATATCAAATTGATAACAAGTTCCATTACCCGGTTATCACTTTTTGATAACTGAATATGTTATAATTCTGGTTGAATTAACAGCCAACATAACAAAAATGATAACAAAAAATTGCTCGTTGAATATCACAAAAATAACTAATTTTGTTATCATTGATAATATCTTGATAACAAATTCTGTATGCCATACAAATATATTCCATAAATTTCAAATCATGTTATCATTTTGATATCAAAGCCTTACGCTGATAACTGAAATATGATGAGTGATTAAAAGTACTATTTTTTATTGTTTCAATGCGAATAATATTTAAAGTTTTGAACTAACCTTGCATCGTTAATAAATATATAGTGAATTTTTCATGATAACAACTGATAACAAAATTGATTAAGACTGATAACTAAATAAGTGATGCGATAACAACTGAAAACAAAATGATATCTGGGAATACAAGACTTGTTATCTATATGATATCGGGTTGTTATTCTACTTTGCTCGGGAAATGCTGTCAAGTACGGAGTAGGCTCTGCCTTTGAACAAGTTTGACGTGCATTTTCTTTGCTATGATTTTTTTTTTTCGGAGAAACGATTTCGGCATATTTTTAAAACAGTATTTAAAAAACCAATCTGATAGTGATTTCTAAAGTTATTAAAGTTTGGGGCTGTCATTCCGTGACACTCAACAAAACCCGTGTCATGAAGTTTTTTCAGAGGGCAGCAGCTCCGAAAACAAACTGCTCCTGTGAACCCCCGATGTTATTCCGTTTGCGACGACGCCACGGAGAAGCGAACCTCAAGGGCTGATCCTGGGGACTCTTTTAATGATATTTCATATTAGCTGAACCTGATCTGGATGATCAAAATGTGAAAATTACAAAAAGATAACAGATACAGGACTACAGGAAATTCTCCCTGAAGAAAAGGAATCACTAGGAATCAGGATGTATTCAAGGAGAGGCAACATGTTGATTCTGTTGAATAGTACCAGGTGGATATCATCCTGATTCAAGCAAGAAAGGTGCACGGCCAATCAAACCAACTCAGCGACTGAGAATAATTGACTCAGAGAGTTTTCTTTCCATACGAAATTTACTCGGATTCCAAACTGCAGTTACTCATAAGCCATGACTACAGTTTCTTCCAAATCTGAGTGAGTTTCGTATAGAAGGAGGGTTCTTTGAGTAAATTATTCTCAGTTGATGAGTTGGTATGATTGACCGTGTGGATCATGAAAGTACCAGTAGCGCAATGTAATTTCATTCTGTTGACATTGCTCATGGATTCATTTGGTGAGTTCGTTCCTACTTATTAACACTTGTGATTATGATGGTCAACAGTGTTGAATGGTCACAAACAACTGCAGAATCTGGGGAGAGCTTACCATTTATTTAATTTAAATATTTGTAGAGTAGTTGTTTGATTTTAGCGTCAAAATTACAAAACCGTTCGTTTTTGGCACGGGGTTTAATTTTGGCAACGTGCCAAGATTGAACGGAATTTGAAAATAGTGTGATTTGCTCCTTGTGATTACAACTACTAATAAAAGATTTATTATTAGCAACGTCTATGTCATGGCAATGCCTCGCAGTGGTCCGAAACCAAATCATAATTTGAATTGCAAAATAAGACCGTTCGATTTTGGCGACAATAAATTTTCAGGCTTGCTGCCAAAATTTAACGGGTGAAATTTAACTGCAAAGGAATAGGTGGATTAAAAGTTTGTTAATAATCGTTTTAAATCTTGTACGCGAAAACCCAAACCTCTTACCCAACATCCCAGTGATTCCTCGTGGAACTGCAGAGTATTTTTCGGCTTCCATCAAAGCGAGTGTCACACCAAGTTTTTACACATTGAGGATGATTGCTAGTCCCAAGCATTAGGATTTTCCAGTAATCAAAGGATCACTTGTTACTTTTTATGACTTGATGTTAGTGAAAAGACTCGGGTAGTGACCACTGCATTTCTATATTGTATATTTCAAATCAAAAATATTGTTTATGTTCATAGATTTCACATAATCTTTTTCCTTTTGTCCTTCTCCTTTGCCTTTTCCTCTTCTCTTTTCAGAAAGCGAGTAATGGCGCGATAGCCATAAGTCATAAAAGGCTAGGACAAGAGTTAGTGCTCATGCCCCAACCTTCAGAAGAAAATGGAGCATCACTTAACCTTTCTTGCTTTGATGCTTCCAACGACCAACCAATCATAAAATTACCAAAATCGGAACGTACGACACGAGATGTCCACGTTTCTTCCATTTATTGGATTCTGAAGCATCGTGTTTAAATTTTCGATTTAAACAGGCCCAATGCTTTCTGAATCATCTTGCCCCTTAAATGCTGCACAGTAGGCCTGGCCGTTTTGATATGTGTGACGTATCTTCGATGTGAAACATATATCAAATAGGCAAGAAAAATGATGTAGGTATATATATCATTTTCCAGGATGCTTTCAAGAACTGGCTGTGTTGGTGTTAGATTAGATTAGATTAGATTAGAAGTGGAAAATGGTAGTGAAAAAGGTATTTCTGGAATCAAGATGATGTATAGAGGATGAAAATCGATATCCGACGTCATTTTGAAATCGAAGATGGTGGCTTCCGATCTATGAAAAAGTGGAAATACAGTCAAACAGACATCAATATTGGTACTTTTGTAATCGGTACAAGTCTACAGAGCGAAAATTGATATGCGACGCCATTTTGAAATCCAAGATGGTGGCTTCCGATTTGCGAAAAAGTGTCAAATACCCTGATTATTTTCAGAATGGGGACGAGGCGTAGATGCGGATGTACTGTAACAGATTTTCCTAAGATCATAAATCAGTGATCTTAATGTTTTCCAACGAAATTTACAAACCTCTTGAAACTCTTGAAAATTCATTGAACATTCCCACGCGCAAGTTGGATGCGCTTATTCATAT